CCTTCAAAAACTTGATACGGTGTTCCTGGCTCTGATCAAGTGCCATGAGGGAGAATTTTTTCTCACCACGTTGGACAACAAACTTCCCTTCCATGAATGCCTCATGGACTGCTGGATGGGTATGTGGCAGGTTTGCCATGTCCTTCAGGAAAACCGGCATCCAGCGAACATCATTTGTATGCCCAAAAGCAAATAACCATGGGCACAAATCTTCAAGGGCCTTCAGGGTCAGAGGCCAATTACCCACTCGCTGACCACGGATGAGGCGGGAGTTGATCATGAGGTAGTCCCTCACTGTTAGCCAGTAAGAGGCTGTCGGAGCATTTTTCAGTAGTCGACTCTCCCAAATATTCATGCTCTCATGAGGCCCACAGCCCTCTTGGCAGTACTCCTCATATGCCTGCAGTTCGAGAACATGGATCCAGGCAAGGGTAAACTGGTAGGCAACTAACTTTCAGAAATAAAACAGCTGTTTTGTTTCAGTTGATGCAATGTCTCATCATCTGAACACGGTGAAGAAAGACACAGTTCATAACTCGCCACACCTTCAACTACTGAAATAAATTATGACCATAACCCCTCATAGCCAGTAATATTGATGTGTAACACATCATGTGATCTTTATTGCAAAGTTTTTAGCAAGATTTTGTCAAGATTTCGCCCTTTGTCCCAGATGAGGCACAACGACCATTATTCATACAAAAAAGTGTCCATTACCAGGCATTTGACATAAAAAGGACCTTCAAAGGGTGATATAGTTTTTACATAACAACCATCTCATTAGATAAAATGTGAAAGTTGACTACAGAATATTTTCAGGCTAAAATAAGGTGGTATACAAACGTTTTTTTCTGTTCAGGAGGGGCCATTTTGTATTTTATGGATACCGACCAATAGGGGGCGCCGCCAACTTGTATCCAATGATTTTTGGAAACTTTAGACCCATACCTAACACCCTGCCAAAAATCAAAAACTTGTCACAAAGTGAACAATTGTTATGAAAATTCACGAATTCCCTCCAGACTAACCAGACAGATAAGGAGAGAAAGAGGATAAATCATGATTTTAATGTTTCATGGGTGTGAATTTGTGGGGATTCTGTAGCAGTAGCATATGTGTGTGCTACAGGCTCAGGTTTAGAAAAAAAATATGATTTTCTGTTCCGATCACTTCAGTCATGCTGCTCTGTTTTGGTCCACCACATAAAATCCAAATAAACACACAGAGGTTTGTAGTTCCAAAGTGATAAATGGCTCAAGATGTAGCAATCCACTATGTAAATGAGGTGATCCAGATCCTGCCAGCACATTCGGTTTTTATTAACCTATGGTCTAATTTTATCTGAGGTTTGATGTCATTCTTAAACTTTCAAATTAAGTCAAAAATCCTTTGTGGAAAATTCCAAAAAAGTAAAAAAAAAAATAAAAAAAACAACAACACTCTAGTCGAATTTTTTTTTGTTTGAAGTTTGAAGACGTTTCGCTTTCCATCCGGGAAGCTTTACCAATTCAAAATGTCAGGAATAGTGCTGAGTTTGAGGCTTTATAGAGAGGACCAAAAAACAAAAAAATAAAACAAAGCCTTGTTTTAGCTTAGAAAACATGCAAATTGAACCAGACGGACGGGTCCGCCCCTTTGGAATGGGGTCATTTGGGATCCTTTGTTAGCCTTTTTTTGAAATCACTATGACCTGGATGAATGAGAATCTTAACCAGCATTAGTGTAAAATGTAAAACAGTTGGAGACAGATTGATTGATCTTTTGGGCTTAATTCTTTCAGCATAGAATGTTGGGGAGAAAAAAAATCACTGTATTTTTTTCATAGATCTGATTTTAACTCTGCTATAAACTTCACAATGCTTGATGAGTCTGAACAGCCAGGCTACTGTTGTCTGAATGTCGCAGCTGGGGATCCGTTAGACAGGCCTAGCCTACAAATACTGTCCGGTGAATATAATGCATGGAATGTGAAATATTGCAATCCAAGCACTGCTATGTGGCTCGAATTTATTATCTGAATCTGTGACAAATACAAGCTAACAAAAGGATTGCTGCTTTAAAGGGAAATTGCTGTGTTTCTGATGAAAGAAGGATTTATTATCAGGAAAAGGAGCAAAACTGATCCAATAACACTATGATCTGGAGTCCGGAGTTTCCCTGACCTTAAACGTTGGTCAAACATTGGATGGAAGTAGTAGTCAAGTGACTATAGAGGCAAGTGTTTGCATTCTGCAGAGGCTACAACACCCTTATTAAGACCTTTGACCCCACAATACTCCCGGTGCGCGGCTCTGTGAAGTACAGGGTTTTTTATTGGATGAGTTCAACCAAGAAGACAAACTTTGTGACTGTGGGGTTTTAAAAGGTTAAATCTTTTCCTCTCTATCTTTAAGTTGACTTATTTGCACCATTTGAACTTTGTTATAAAATCACCAAGCACAACTACTGAGGTTAGTTTGGAATTGACAGCAAACATGTTGGCAGAGACCGTCCCTGCTGCAGGGAAACTAAAGTTATTTATTCCTGAGTCCAGCTTTATTTTTATATCAAAAAGAGTGCATCAGACCAAAGTTTATCTGATCATTGAACAAACAGCACCGAAGCACCACCATACTGTGGTAAAAACAGCCCTATTGGATGTAGAGGTTATTTTAAAGAGTAAGGGAGACTCAGATGTATCTGTTTAAAAGTTGCTCTGTTGAAAGTTTTCCGTCCATCTCCTTTGGAACAAGCAGGATTTACAAGGGTTGTGCTTTTGGGAATTTCTAGAACTGCTCAATACAATGATGCCATTAAAGGTGCTGTTCATCCCACTAGGCTCCACATAGGAAAACACCTGAACGTCTGGGCAGCCACGGCTCTACTTCCTCTATCATACATCACACCTGATGGCTCTAAAAAAAATAATCTAAAAAAAAATGGTCCTGGCTGGTTTAGGTACAGAGGATTAGAGCCACTGAAAAAAAAGTTTTTAAATTTGATTTTAGTTTAATATGGGAAAAAAGTCAGATTTCTGACTTTAATCTCAGAATTCTGACTTTTTTTCTCTGAATTTCTGACTTTACTCAGAATTTTGACTTTTTTTCCCATATTAAACTAAAATAAAATCAGTTAACTTTTTTATTTTTTTCAGTGGCCTTAACCCTCTTCCGTATTTAGGAGCTCCAGCTGCCTCAGTTTCATCTCAGCACGTATGATGAGGCTGATCGGAGGGGGAGATCTCAGGAGATTTCTAAAGCTCTTAGCGGATGGTTTTCAGATCAAAGCTGAAGAGTCCTGATTGTGTGTCAACCTTTGCATGATAAATAATTCAGATTTCATCCCAGAATTTATCCTCCTCCTCTTGGAGACACAATAAACGTGAATATAAAGAATATTTCATTCTTTGAACAAAAATAGCAGATTGGGATAGAGTTTGCTGTCAGGGTGGATCAATCTGTGTGAGGGCGGTACTTGTTTTGCTGGTGAAGGTTCTCAGTCATCCAGATTACAGTCAATCCAAAAAAATTAAAAACAATCCACTGTAAAAAAAAAAAAAAAAAAAAGCACTCCACTGGACTTTGTTTCCAAGTTTGAAGATGTTTCACTTTCCATCCAAAAAGCTTTTTCAATTCAACATGTCAGAAAAAAGTGTTGAATTCCAGGTTTTATACAGTAGCCCAACAAAACCTTGTTTTTGTTTTGAAAACATGCAAATTGGAACAGATGAAGGGGTCCACCCATCTGGAATGGGGGTCGTTTGGCTTCTTTTGTAGACTGCAATACCCCATACCATCTAAGTGTCTGAATGGTCGGTTAAAGGGCTGAATAGACTTTGTTGGGCTACTGTATAAAATCTTAAACTCAACGCTACTCCTGACATTTTGAATTGAAAAAGCTTCCTGGATGGGAAGCGAAACATCTTCAAATGTGGAAAGTCCAGTAGATTGTTTTTATTTTTTTCTGTACTTTTTTTGTTTTTTTTTTTCCCAAAATAAAGGGATATTATATGATACAATTTCATCCAATTACCATACAATAAGCTGCTCAGTGGCACAGTGGGTTCTCTCTGGGTACTCCGGCTTCCTCCCACAGTCCAGACACATGACTGTTAGGTTAATTGGTTTCTCTAAATTCTCCTTAGGTGTGAGTGAATGGTTGTTTGCCCTGTTGTGTCTGTGTTGCCCTGTCCAGGGTGTACCCTGCCTCTCGCCTTAGACAGCTGGAGATGGGCACCAGCAGCCCTCATGACCCCGATTGGGATAAAGCGTGATAGAAAATGGACGGATGGAGAATTTCATCCATGACAAAGTAGAATGTATGAATAAAAGATAACATTTCCATTATATAAGACTGGCAGAAGAGCTGGAGACAAGCTAAGCTGTGATTTGGGTTAAAAGCCCAATCCAAGGAGAAGAGGTGTTCCTATGGAGGGAGGAGGATACCAGAGCTGGAGAGGGGAGATATTCCCAGGCATCCTGCTTCTTATCCTCCTCATCCTCAGCTCTGCAGGCCCAGAATAATAAAAAAACAGGCACAGAGAGGCAGGGGAGCCTGTATGTGCTGCGGTGTCACGCAGCTGTCGCACCGCAAAGCTATTATTAAACCCGACCACACGCACACGTAGAGTCAGGTAGGCCAGGCGGATTGTGTCAACATCTCAAGGTCACACCGCGGCTCCGAACCGCTCGGTGTTTTTCCTAAAGCAGCACCGCAGCTGAGACAAAGGGCAGCGGCCGAACCCCGCAGCCCGATCCCGCTCTGCTCTCACCCAGTGCGGGCTGCACAGAGCCGTCCAGGGCCGGTTCCTCCGGCTGACAAACATCTGGATGGGAGGAGCGGGAGGAGGAGGGGGGAGGATGAGGAGCTGGGGGCGCAGGAATGAACGGCCGGATTCCGTTAGTAGTGGAGTCCCGGTAAGGATGGAGATGAGGGAAGGTGATAAGGATGGAGGGGAGGAACAGAAAGAGGAGGAGGGGGCGCTTTTTTCCCCCCCCCCCATCTTTTAATTAATTCCTTACCCTCTGACAGCTCCAGCTCCAGCTCCGCCAGCCGGGCTCGGATCTCCAACGGTATCGGAGACGCCTCGCGGTCCGCCATTCGGCTGGTACCGAACTGAACAGGTCTCCGGCTTGAAAAGCTGCCTCCTCAGCCGCTCCTGCTCTCCTCCTGTATCGGGAGCGCTTCTCCTTCTCCTCGGCGGCGGCCCCTCCTCAGCGGAGGCGCGTAAAGACAGCGAGGCGTCGGGGGGGTAGAACAAAGAGGATAAATGTGGGTCTGGTTTTAACGGGGGACCGCCATGTTGCCCGCTTCCTTGGCTCGGTGAAGACCCTCCGGTGGTTCGGTCGGTTCTCCTCTCTGCCGCTGCAGAGGTTCTGCTGGCTGTTGGGAAGAGGATGATGAGGCTCGCGCAGCGCCGCACTCTCAGCCGTTTGAAGCTTGCTGCTGTCACGTGACCGCAAGGAGTTTAAAAAAAAGAGAGGCGGGTACACTCATCACCGACAGGGGGCGCAGCGTCCGACCACTCCTCTTCAATTAAACCAGAATAACATGAGATCAGATGCTTCAAATTCTGATTGATATTTATCTATAAATTAATTTAGAAATAATATTTCTAAAAACACATTTATTTTTACTAAATAATTAAATATTTCCTTAGTTAGTTAATTACTTGCAGTATGTTTTAATGAATTTTAGACCAAAAAAACAACATGTTATTTTTGTAGATATACATTTATTTAGAATATAAAATATATTTAGTATTTCATGTCTTCATTTTAATGCTTTTACATTAACAAACTCATTTACATGCTTTCTTTTTTAATTAGATTTTGGCGTATTGTTCTTTTTTTTAATATACTAAAGATTTTTGTTGTGTGAAAAATATGATTATAAAAATATTCAATAGTTAAAGTTTTTTATATATATTTTCTTTCTTAGAGTATTTTTTCATGTCTTACGTAGAAAAAAGGCTAATTACATTGTTATTAAATTGTTTTCAAAAACCTAATCAAAACAAAACATTTCCAAATCAATGATTCCCTGAATAAATATTTATGTAGATGTTCAACATAAAATAAAGCAAGATACAAAATGTGAAACATTTTTTTATGACTTATCAAGTTTTTTGAAAGGGGTGTTCAAATAAATGTGTTACCTGGTCATTTACTTTCTTAAATGTTTTCTTATCATACATTCTTTAAAAATAAAATTACATTTTATCCTGTTCATATTGAACTGAATGGCACCCATGTCTTCTTTTAAACTCTGATTGCACACAAACCAATGCATTAAAACTTCTTATCTCCTTTCAAAGGAAATTAAAGAAGTTGACAAATAAAGCTGTTGGAAATCCAGCAGTATCTCTATGGTGGTGATTAAAAGGCCACATTTTCCTTTGCATCCATAGTCTTTAGAAAGCTTCCTAAAACAACACTATTTCGTGATATTTTTAATTTTCTGCCATTTGATGTTTAAATTATCCATTCCTTTAAGAGTATTTATTTGCAGATTATTCACTCCAATCAAAGCCTCAGCAAAGGAAGTTTTAATTGCAAAATATTCAGAAGATTTAAAGATCTCAACCAAACATTAACCTGTTTTTTTATTAATTTCCTACTATTTATCTGAACATTCCAGCTTCTTTTTTGCAGGTAATGCTTAAAGTTCATGTCAGATTACCTGAAATGGAAGAAAAACTGTGGTTTCTATTCTTGTCACATTAGTCCTGTCATCATGTTTGACCTGAGATGACCTGCAGCTGAAAGCGGGGAAAATGAATTAAAAAGTGTTCAGTCTGAGCGGAGAGTCTGTGACCCATTTTCATTAGAGGAGATTTATGAGGCCTGCCACAAAAAAAAGGGTAAAACAAAAAACTCTGAACTTCCTCCCTCATAGTACTTTCCATTTCATCTGTGAAGGCAAAGAAATGAGCAGGCCTAGCTGTTTTAATACAGCGAGGGTGTCATCAGGCTGGAGGAGGTTGTTTTTTAGGGCTTTTGGAGCAAAAATACATCTGATGAATAACAGCAGGATTTGTTGAACAACAAATGTGGTTAGTCAAATCTACTTGATTAAGATCATTCAGTTTAATTCAAATACGTTTCAACAAGATTCAGAGATAAATCCTAAATTCTCACGTTTAATTTCAGTAAAATGTGATGAAATGAGCTAATTTCAGCATTTCATCAACACGCTTGATCCAATTCACAAGGCTGCTGGTAAACAAATGTTGCAGCCAAACTAATTAGAGCTGTAATGTGGCTTTACTGCCATCTGCTGGTTGATAGAAGGAAATAAGTCTGCCTGAAGACCAAGGAGATTAGTCCTGAGCGTGGCAGACCTGGTTCGAATTCAACCTGTTAGAGCATATATATATATATAGATAGATATATATATCTATCTATATATATATATATAAGTAAAAAGCCGAATAATAAGGTAAAAAATTTCAGTTTAACACAAATAAAACCAAATCTGTACTTAAAAAGAAATGCGCTGCAAAATCTAGATGAGTAATTTTTTCTTAAAATAAGTGCATTTGTTCTTGAATTGAGTAGATAAAACAGACATTTTGCCAATGAAACAAGACAATTTAGATTTAAAATGAGAAAACACAATTGCATTTTCTTATTTCAAGTGCATGTTATCTAATTATCTTATTTTAAGAGTAAAAATACTCATTCCATTGGAAAATTATTATTCAAATCAAAGGTAAATACACTTAATTTAAGAAATGTTTACTTATTTCGAGATTGTTTTTCCAGTGTAAAACAGTAAAAGAATACATAAAGAACTGTTCTTAGTTGCAGTTCTTTATGGGGTGTGGGAGTTTGCCCACTAACCAGAGGGTTGTCGGTTAAAGCCCTGGCTCCGGCTTTCAATGTCATGTCATTGGGCAAGACGCTTCACCCACATTGCAAGTGAAGAGAGAACTCCTTCATCATGATGGTGGTCAGAGGGCCCGGTGGCAACAGCGTATGGCAGCCATGCTTCTGTCAGTGAGCCCCAGGACAGCTGTGGCTCTGTATAATGTAGCTCGCCACCATCAGTGTGTGAGTGAATGTAGTGTAGAGCACTTTGGTCAAGTCCTCTGACCTGAAAATGCACTATATATAAGTACAGTACGCTGAGGCTTTACAGTTGCGTTTATTCATTAAGGAGCCTCTGAACATGGAAAGGGTCTGATTGGTCTGTGCACACAGTGGATCTACAGAACAACTCAGAATGAAAAACACAAATTCTGTCAGAACCAGAGGTCCGGCATCCAAAAACAGAAAACCATCGCAATAAACCATAAATAACATCTGGCTTATTTACAACAACAACCAAACAAGAGAAAAAAAAAATGGAAAAAACTTCAGAGCAAAGTTAAAATTTGAACTGTTTAAAATGGAATCAATTTCATCTCAGCAGTTTTCAGAGCGCTTAGCTCAAAGCTCAAGTTCCAAAGAGCAGCTGCCCTCACATTTTTTTGTTCTCAATCCATCGGAGACAGAGGGTGCTGGTTCTCTGCTTGGGGGGCGGAGTCAGCAGGCGGCGCTGCATAATTGGTCGCAGCATTCTTGCAGATCTCAGCATAGCTGGGTTTCTTCAGCTTCTGAAAGAATCATAGAACAGAACCGGATCTGGATCAGTTTGAATCGTCATCATTATTCATTTATAAAGAAACATCCACTGATCTTTGCTAATATAAAACACTGTAGGGCGTTTCATGGTTTTACACATCAGACTGAAGAAATAAATACTTTACATTTGGACTGATGACATCACAATAGACACAAGAGAGGCTGTAAAAAGCAGGTATTCGTAGCATTGTAGAACCAATTAATAATATTACATTTGAAAGAGGAATATAATCTAAAAAGTGGGGAAAGAAAGATGGAAACCACACTGCAAAAAATGGAACTCTAAATAAGTCATTTTTACTCAAATTAAGTGCATTTTTTCTTGAATTCAGGTGGTAAGTGAGACACTTTGCCAATGGAACAAGACAATTTACGCTTAAAATAAGAAAAAACAATTGCTTTGTCTTATTTCAAGTGTATATTATCTAATTATCTTATTTTAGGAGTAAAAATACTCATTCCATTGGCAAATCATCTTGTTTGCCTGCTCAAATTAAGGGTAAATACACTTAATTTAAGACATTTTTTACTTATTTCTAGATGTTTTTTGCAGTGCAGTGATCATATTAAAGGGAACTCTAATCAGTTTTTCTTTGCTTTATGTGATGTCATCAGACGCTTATTCACCAAAGCAAAAATCAAATGTTCTTCGCAACAAATGGTATCTAAAGTAATTTTCAATGATTTTACAGATGAATCCAACTTGCTTAAAGTCTTCACGAAACAATAGCCAAAACAAAATGTACAGTTGATAACATAATAAATCTGAAAAGAGGAGCAAAGATAGGGTATCTTAATCACTAAAGTAACAGATAATTGGTTCTTATAATATTCATTACAAAGACATCAGGCTAGGACAAGAAAAACCCGCTAAATGAGAATCAGATCCTCTAATATCATCTTACTCCACTCCTGATACCCTGCCAGTCGTCACTGGTCAGAATGGAGATCCCACTTCATCCACATTCAGACCAGATCACATGAGATCTTTTTTAAATCGAATCTTTCGAAGCCTTTCCACATTTTATTTACTCCTCCTAATGAGGACAGAAAATAAACAATGTGAATTATAAGCGGCAGTTGAAAGGCTGTTTTTCTATGTTTCCACTGTGGACTGCTGTGGTGTTGCCAGATGCTCCTGCTGAACATCAAAACCCTGGGGGGCGGTGATGGTCCATGTGTTCACAGTCCCATGTGTCCAATCAGAGGAAGAACACACCAGGAAGAGATCAACACTCAGATCCAGTGGATGTGTGATTCTATTATTGTTTCATTCTGTAAATCTCGTTAGAGGTCTGGATGAGCCCTTAATTGGATCAAAGCAAACTGCTCAAACTGGCTTTGAATTAAGTCCAATGAGGCAGCTGATTGAATGGAGTGTGATAATTCATACATGCAAACTGGAGCATGGTGTTAGAAGATCCCTGGAACGTTGATGTGTGTATCTTTACTAAAAGATCTGTGAGGTTCTGGAGCCATGGAGTCCCAGGCAGCGCTGGGAGACCAGCAGCTCAGGAGGACGGTTCACATCCTTCTTTCCAAATTAAAAGAACTTATTCAATTCAGGCAAGGCAAACAAAATTAACATGTTTTTTGTTTTGCACTAGATATGCAGCTCAGAGAAATGAACTGGTATGTAGATCAGAAGCCAACAAATTACACCTGAACATAAAAATACCTTTTAGACAAAGACTTTACATCAAAGGTTCATTATCTATTAATCAGATACCTTAAAATGACTAATATAATAAAGAGGGCGTAGTTCTATTTTATTTTTATTGTTGTAGAACTATTTGAATCCCGATCAATATTCTACATCAGTTGGCGGTGATAATGGGCCAGAAGTTGCTTGTCGAATGGCACTAAACACAAGAAGAAGATGGAAGCCAACTAAACTTCAATGTCTTTTTCTCAGGCTCGATCCGATTATCTCAATTTGTTAATGACACTTAAAGTCGCAGAGAAAACATATTTAAATGTCAAATTATTCTGGCTTAAACATGTATATAGATGTACTCTTTATCAGATGATATTGTCCTAAAATTTAGAAAATTTCTGTTTAAAAAAAAAATCCTGTCTTAAAATTTGTAGGTTTTTTTTTTTCTTGTTGTCTTATGCTGTCCAGTTAGTTATACGTCAGCTTGTACACCTAAATTTAGCCAATCATATATCAACGGTCATCTGTCAATCAATTTTTTTCGATGGTAGCATCTTGATTCGTTGTTGCAGGTAATATACGCGACGGTTGAAATAAGGAATAAGAAGGAGTTCCGTCCCAGTGTTCAGAGGGATGGACGTCTGTGTCTTCAGCAGGCGTAGAGCTAACAGAACTGGCAGCGTTGCGAGGCAAGGGCTCAAACATGTACGGCTGGAAGCCTTCTACACCAAACCAAGCTTCTGCCGCCCTGGCGTCCTCTTCCACAACATCTTCGTCCTGCTTTCCTCCTTTAAATATAAAATTTATGACCGAGGAGACTCATCCACGACCTCCGACACTAAACTCTCCTCCTCTTGCATGTTTCCTCTGTCCATAGCGTTCCTTGACAGTGTCGTTTCTAAGTTACCAATTTAGTGCTACTTGGTCCCAATGGAATTTCCCTGGGAACCTACTAGCACTAAGTTGCTAACTGGTTAGCAAGATGCTTCCAAGAAACCAGCCACAACCAAAATGCTTGCGAACCTTCCACCACAACCCTCTTGATAAATGACCAATCAAATTCACTATATTCACTCGTGTAAAGTCGACACCACTCGGGAGAATTCGTGAGAAACGGTTGGAACAGCCGTTCCCTTACGACTTTAACTGTAATTCCCCTTAAATTAGGAAAGTAAATAAGATGATTTGCCAATGGAATGAGTTTTTTACTCTTAAAATAAGTTAATTAGATAATTTGGAGTTGAAATTAGACAATGCAATAGTTTTTTTCTTATTTTAATTGTCTTGTTCAATTGGCAGAGTCTCACTTACCCCCTCAATTTGAGAACAAATGGACTTATTTTAAGAAAAACTGATTTATTTAGATTTGAATTTTTTGCAGTGTGATGACCCAGATACAGGTGCTGGTCATAAAATTAGAATATCATGAAAAAGTAGATTGATTTCAGTAATTCCATTTAAAAAGTGAAACTTGTATATTATATTCATACATTACATACAAACTCATATATTTCAGATGTTTATTTTGTTTAATTTTGATGATTACAAATGACAACAAATGAAAATCTCAAATTCATCATATCAGAAAATTAGAATATTACTGAAGACCAATAAAAACAAAGGATTTATAGAAATGTTGGCCAACTGAAAAGTATGAACATGAAAAGTATGAGCATGTACAGCACTCAGTATTTAGTTGGGCCTCCTTTGGCCTGTATTACTGCAGCAATGCGGCGTGGCATGGAGTCGATCAGTCTGTGGCACTGCTCAGGTGTTATGATAGCCCAGGTTGCTCTAATAGTGGCTTTTAGCTCTTCTGAATTGTTGGGTCTGGTGTATTGCATCTTCTTCTTCACAATACCCCATAGATTTTCTATGGGGTTAAGGTCAGGAGAGTTTGCTGGCCAATTAAGAACAGGGATACCATGGTCCTTCAACCAGGTACTGGTAGCTTTGGCACTGTGTGCAGGTGCCAAGTCCTGTTGGAAAATGAAATCTGCATCTCCAAAAAGTTGGTCAGCTGCAGGAAGCATGAAGTGCTCTAAAACTTCCTGGTATGTGGCTGCGTTGACCCTGGACCTCAGCAAACACAATGGACCAACACCAGCAGATGACATGGCACCCCAAACCATCACTGACTGTGGAAACTTTACACTGGACTTCAAGCAACGTGGATGAAGTGCCTCTCTTCTTTTCCTCCAGACTCTGGGATCTTGATTTCCAAAGGAAATGCAAAATTTACTTTCATCAGAGAACATGACTTTGGACCACTCACCAGCAGTCCAGTCCTGTTTCTCTTTAGCCCAGGCAAGACGCTTCTGACGCTGTCTGTGGTTCAAGAGTGGCTTGACACAAGGAATGCGACAGCAGAAACCCATGTCTTTCATACGTCTGTGTGTGGTGGTTCTTGAAGCACTCACTCCAGCTGCAGTCCACTCTTTGTGAATCTCCCCCACATTTTTGAATGGGTTTTGTTTCACAATCCTCTCCAGGGTGCGGTTATCTCTCTTGCTTGTACACTTTTTTCGACCACATCTTTTCCTTCCCTTCGCCTCTCTATTAATGTGCTTGGACACTGAGCTCTGTGAACAGCCAGCCTCTTTAGCGATGACCTTTTGTGTCTTGCCCTCCTTGTGCAAGGTGTCGATGGTCGTCTTTTGGACAACTGTCAAGTCAGCAGTCTTCCCCATGATTGTGTAGCCTATAGAACTAGACTGAAAGACCATTTAAAGGCTTTTGCAGGTGGTTTGAGTTAATTAGCTGATTAGAGTGTGGCACCAGGGGCCATCAATTTTGAACCTTTTCACAATATTCTAATTTTCTGATATGATGAATTTGAGATTTTCATTTGTTGTCATTTGTAATCATCAAAATTAAACAAAATAAACATCTGAAATATATGAGTTTGTATGTAATGTATGAATATAATATACAAGTTTCACTTTTTAAATGGAATTACTGAAATCAATCTACTTTTTCATGATATTCTAATTTTATGACCAGCACCTGTATATCTCCCACTGGTTTATCGAGATAATAGAACAGACAGTATTTTTTTTTTACCGTAGCTGGTTCTGCTGGGAGCTGAACTGGTTCCTCCTTGAAGGTCATCTTTGAATCGCCCTCCTCAGACCTGCAGACAACAACACAGCTGCTAAAAGTCTGCAATTTAAACATCCTCCAATAAAAATCGGTTCTAAAGCAGTTCTAATGCCCCAGTGAGCAGCAGCTGCTTTTGGATACTTACACTGAAGGAGGAGGAAGTGGTGATGATGATGATGATGATGAGGTGATCGGATCCATAAAGGTTGTCTCAGGCAGGAGTGGCTTTAATAGGGCAGCCTGTTGAACCCATTCACGTCAGCATTGTGTCAGACAGAGAGAGTTGGTTACCTTGGGACTGTCGTTAGCTTCAGGTGTGGTTACCGTGGCAACGTTTGTAGTAGAAAGAAGAGGGAAGCTGGACAGGTTGAGCTCAGGAGGAAGAGGAGGTGCCTCGTGAGGAGGAGACGGCTGAGGGGGAGGAGAAGGAAGAGTGGGTGGATTCCTACACAAACTGAAAGACTGACTCCACAGTTTTCCTACCTCAGAGGCTTGTTTGGTTATTTCCCAGGACTTTGGCATCTCTCTCCTCCTCTGGCTGAAGGTTCCTCTCCTCCTGCAACTGAGACAGAAAAACGTCAAACTATCAATTTGCTACTTTCAGTGTCTTTAGAATTTATTGGCTTTGTTTTAGAAGCATCAGGAAGTGTCAACAGAATTTCTACATAGCTGCCTGCAGGTCAATCTCAAATTTAAAAAGCTGGTGAAAGTTAGACTTTTTTAAGCCTGTTTTGCAACATTTTCCACAATCACACATCTGAAAGGTGTGGCTGAGAAAAGAGTCTTTCCAGCCAGCAGCTGTAGGTTTGTTTTCTCCATCACCACCAGCAGCTTTGACCAAAAGAAAGTGAAAAGTTTCCCTTTCTGTATGGCTGGTGGATCAGGCTTTTAGATGTATGACAAACAGGTTCATGTTGGTCTATCCTCTATTTGTTTCGTCTCACACATGGCTTGTGACAAACTGCAAACAGGACTTATCAAGGGTTCCTTCCTGCCAGACTTCTTCAAAGGCCTAATGTGGTGTCAGCAGATCCAGCCACCTTAGGCTTGGATCACTACAGCTCCTCCAGGACTACCAAGGGGCTACTCACTGCTTCTCTGAGTAATGCTCTACTTTTCAGCAGCATTCTTTTTTACTATAATCGTTTTTGCTGCTGTAAACACAAGAATTTCCCCATTGTGGGACAATAAATGGATTTTCTATTCTGTTCTATTTGCTGGCTCTGGATTTTATTTTGGAGTATGACGGTAGAGGGGGCTGAGTAAACAATCTGATGATAAACTGATTTTTTTGAACCACTAATCACTTTCCTTCCATTTCATAGTTTATGTTGGCTGGTCACAAAAAAACCCTAAAACAAATATATATTCTGTTGCAAAAGGAAGAAAATCGATTTAAGTTTGAATATGTCCGCAGGGTACATTTAAAGTTACCTCACCTTCCTAAACCCAGTCTGATTGTATGATATGATTCGAATGTCTCTGTAAAGAGCCTTGAGATGACGTGTTGGGAATTTGCTCTGTAGAAATATATAAATGTTTGGGTTAGATTAAATCATGTTTTTTTCCTGGCTGAGTTTGGACCTTATTTCAACTCTGCAAGAGAGATGAATTTGTTCTATGAGAATAAACGGTTTTCCTTTTAGAGGAGTTTGTGTTCATCTTAAATCAAAACCTTAGCTGGGTTTGAATCTGTTATGGTTCTCCCCTTTTGGGACTCTGAGTTTTTAGTTTTCAGTTATCAGTTGTTCTGTTTTGTTGATCTTTGTTTTATTTTCCATTATATTCAAGCATTCTTAAGTTACTCTCTGTTGCCCCCTTGTGCTTGTTTCCTTTCCCCTTGGCTTCCTTCTAGTCAGTTCCACTCACACCTGCTCCTTATTCAGCTCACTTTGTTCTGTTCCCTTTATATACTCCACCTCAGCCTCCTGATCTCTGCATTTGGGTCCTCAAAACCTCCCCCCCATTGTGACAGAATCCCTCAGCAGCTTCTCTTACATTAGGACAGGTAAACAGCAGGAGCAGCATGATTCTCTGTTACTCTCCAGCTGTAAGGTTGCATTAGAACCGTAGCTATGGAACAGGTCAGGAGTCCAGCTGTCCTCACGCCTGCTGTTGAGCTTTGGTTTGCAATGATCTAAAAACTAAACTAAATGGAGCTTTAAAATAACTGACATCCTTTAAAAAAGGGTTCAGGTTGTGGTTTTACAACAGCACACAGAAAAAAGCGTCATGTCGTGTTACCTTCCCTGGTCAGAAAAAGTCGTTAGAACCTGTTTGTTGGGTTCTGATCGCCTCCCCTGGTTCTGTTGACGCAGCCTCCCTCTCTGCCAACCATGTCCCTTCTTCTGGAAGGGAGAGGGATCGTAACCTTCAGACGGCTGCTCTGAGGGTTGTGAAGGCTCATCATGTCCATCTTTCAGACACCTGGAGCCTCTCCTGCAGGTCAGACAGCAGAAACACCCGGCTAACATGATGGTCTCAGAAACGGACAGCTGCTAGAAGATGGCAGTACCTTTGCTTTTGTTCTGTTTGCATTCTGCATGTAGGAGGGTCTGGAAATCCATTCATCGCTAACTGAGAATGCAGGCATGACCCGATCAGTACCATAGAGACACAAACACAAAACAGAGGGGTCCAGGTCATGAACCACGGTTCTGCTCTCACCTCAGTGATCTCCTGGTATCCAGCTGTAGCGCCGGTCAATTCCTGGTGGGTTGGCTCAAGCGTAGTCTGTGTGGAGGCCTGCTGAAGGCAGGATGGGTCGAACATTGTTGATGGAAAGTAGGACCAGTAATGTTTGCTGCACGGCTCCAGCCGAACGGGCATTGATACGTTTTTAGGAACGTGGGAGGCGATGGGTATGGTTTTGGTCTTTATCCTGGCCATGATGGGCTTCCCCTGGAAGACGCAGACTTCCTCTCTGAGGTACCTGTAGGCCTGAAGGAGCGTTTACTGTCTCAAGCTGCTGACAGGAACTACCAGCCACATGTTGATTTATACAGTCTTTTCTATACTCGGACATTAAAGCCACTGACTTTAAAGCAAAAAGTAGATTAGCTGGTTAAATAGAAGCTGGAGCAGTTGGATTAGATGAACGCTAATGAGACACTGGGAAGAGCTAAGCAGGTGAATGAAATGACTAATGAAGCCAGTGCCAAGATCACAACAGGACCAAGTTCAGGCTGGGAGGTTCACCCTACAGCTGCACAACCCACCTGAACATCCAGCCTGAGCAACCATGGATGGTTTAGTCCCGGAGTGTCCGACTCCAGTCATCAGGAGCCGCTTTTCTGCATGTTTCTAATGCATCCATTTCTGGCTGAATCACCTCCTCAGTTTAAAGTCCTGGTAATGAAGCCTTTTTTTTTCTTTTGGGTTTGTTCAATCAGGTAAGAATCTAAAACATGCAGGACACCAACTGTTGATGACTGGAGCTGGATGCCATGCTGAAAAATGTACCATAGTCCAGCTTTAAACCCAGTTGTGAATATGTGGTAAGTTAGGGTTGGAAATATTGAAATAAATCCAAGATTTTCCAACATAAAACCATAACAGAGCACTTAGGCTAAATCTTTAAAAGCCTTGGGTACATTGAAGTGTTTATGCTCTTCTTGTTAAATAACTAGACTGTATTTGTGATGACCACCATAAATGGACGAGTTACTTAGAAAAGCTTTAAGTTTAACTCATTAAGTTTGATTGGTTTATCAAGAGGGCAGGGACCAATCACATTAACTTTATTTACTTGTGTAAAGTCTTGCATTCGGGAGAATTCGGAAATGCATCGGTTGGATTAGCTGTTTCCCTACGACTTTAAAGTGACGCATTAAGCTGAAGGTAGGGGAGGGAAAAACTAAACTCATTTGACTGAGCCAGAGAAAAGAAAATAAGACTGCTCTACATCTAATCTGAATGAAATTGAGCTCTAATTACAAAAAACACGGGCTAAAGAGTCAGTCTCTATATATTACAAAGCTAAAGAGAAACATGTTTTTCAGCTGTAACTGTAAAAGGCACTCCACACTTTTCAGATACTTATCGTTAAAAAGGAAAGTATATAAGAAAGGTTAAAACTATGTGTCATTTTCTTTTTACCACACTTATGCTTTACTTGGTGTTGCTCTGCTCACTGAATCTAAATGAAACAAGCTGTGGCTGTACGCTGACCAAATATGGAAATATTAAATTAATATTCATTTAAATGCAATACAGAATCATAACATATTAAAACCTTTTCTTTGACCTGCTGGTTTGGTCAGGACCAAAGGTGGACATTAGTTACTGTTATGCAGAGATGGGAAGTAACGAAGTACAAATACTTCGTTACTGTACTCAAGTAGATTTTTCTGATATTTTTACTTTACTTTACTACTTATTTTTATGGCGACTTTTTACTTCTACTCCTTACATTTTTACACAAATATCTGTACTTTCTACTCCTTACATTTTAAAAAATTGGCTCGTTACTTTAGTTTTGAATCATTTCAATGGAGTTACCGTTATTATTTTTCACGTCATAAATACCAAATTCAATCTAATTGGATGGGAATCTACGTTGCATTTGACGCACCACTACAAGATGAATCGACAGATTCGGCGGTATTCATTGGCTGCAAATCATTGCAGCTTGGTGGCGGTGGCGTTAGCATAGTAGCATGGACGACGAGATGATTGAAAATGAACACAACGGAGATCTAGACCTATTGGCAGACATCCATTTAAAATGTAGGCAACAGCATGAAAAAGTGGTTTCTACTTTTACTTTTATACTTTAAGTAAATTTACAAGCCTGTACTTTGTTACTTTTGCTTGAGTAAAGAAGTTTAATCAGTACTTCCACTTTTACCAGAGTATTTTTTAACCCAAGTATCTGTACTTTTACTCAAGTACGGAAAGTGAGTACTTTTGCCATCTCTGCTGTTATGTGGTGCAGTTCTTTTTCACCTCGTACATTAAAGGTAGTGAGCTAACTTGTGAACAAAGCCACAGGTGAACTTTGTTGCTCCAACTGGATAGAAATGATTTGAGCATGGACCAGGAAATGTTGGGTTTGATCGGGTAGTGACAGCTGGTTTGATTCTAACCCGAGTCCATTAAGAACTGGGCCGAGACCACTTCTAAAGGTGGGTTCCAGTCAGGTTGTTTGGTGCAAACTAAGGTTCCCTTGAGTGTTTTCCTACCAGCACAAATGGTCCAGAAAAAGAAAGAAACTGAAAATAGCTCCAGAAATGTCAGCTGTCTTTTACCTGTTCAGCATCAGCTTCTGATTTAAATGTGAGGAACCAGTTGTTATTCACGGCCTCACAGCTCAGGACCTTTGGCACGTCTTCGCCTTCAAACAGAGCCTCCACCTCCTGCAGAGCAGCAGTAACATCGAACAGACATCAGTAACCTGCCTCCCTGACGCGCAGAAGAGTTAGATTGTAGGAAGAAGGTTGGACTAGCCTCTGGAGGTGTGGTGTCAGGAATCTCACGCAGGATCACAATGCAGCGGTTCTGTCTGGGCCGAACCTTCTGCCCACAGGGAGTCACCTCTGCCAGAGGAATGGCTGCCGTCCAGATGGGAGCAGGACATGTCAGAGGAGTAAACAAACACAGGAGCTTAATCCAGACGGAAGGTATGTTTTCAGTGACTAGCAAGCAATAAAGAAACATTATATTTCAAATATCCTGATCATGGTTTGACTTTGGAAAAACATCAGCCATTTCTAAATGTGTACTGGTGCGTTCTCATGTGCTCGTGAAACATCATCAGCCTCAGCCCTAGTACTGTTCAAATTCACAAGAACAGCAGACCGAGAACGGTAAAAGTCCCCGGATGTTGTTCTCGCCCCTCCTTATTTACCCAGCATGCATCAGAGCATGCACACTTGTCCGTTTTTGAGATTGACAGCTGTCCCAGCATGCACTGCGACAGCAGCAGCTTCCAATGGAGCGCTCACACAGCTGAGAGTATTAAGTTAAAAGTTCTCTTTTCTGTTGCCGTTGTTCAATAAAAGTACATTTTAGGATAATTTAAGGCGAGAATATTATACTTAAGCGTTACTACATATCCCATTTACTTATTTAATGTGTAATTTAAAAAACTTCCGAGGGTAATGGCAGCCAGGGCTAACCGCAGCCCGTCTGCAGCGGCCCTCTCTAAGCATAGCCGTGTGTGAAGGACCGCTGCCTCTGATTGCGATTTTTTTGTTTTATTTGGCAAAATGTTCATTTGATTTGTGTTTATCTGACTGTGTTAATTATTAATCCCCCAATAAATTGAAAAAGTCAGAATATATTATTATCTAGAGACTATTAATAACAGGAGGTGAAATGCAGCTCCAGACGAGCGGGATGTGTAGTGACGCCACGAGTACGCTTCTGTTCCAATTGACCCATATTTATGCTGCATGCTCCCGTTCTCCCCCAGTCCAGGCTTTCCTGTGTTCTACTCAAGAACATACTTCGCGAGGACACGAGTCCGTGCTCGCGTTCTTGTGAATTGAGAAATGTAAAATGCAGACACATTCATCTGAACTAAAACAGGCACCAACATTTGAGGATATCACAGATCAGCTCCAGGTCAGTGGTGACGTTCTTGATCCTATCCAGGGTGGCCAGAATGGAGATGGGGATGTAGTGGTCGTTATCCATCTGAGACTTCAGGTAAAGGTCGCTGCTCAAAAAATCCCTAAGGAAGAAGGGAGAAGTCAGTAAGGAACACTCACAGACTAGTTACTGCCTAATACCAGCAGAAACATCACATATATCTATTTTAAGGCCCAATGGTTAATTTTTCATGTAAAATTCACTTAGAATTAAACCCCACTGTTGTTCCACATGTTACCTGGTTAGACAGGACTCCAAAATGTTGCTCAGTTGTTCTCTGATCTCATCTGGAAGAAGGAAACCAAATGCTTTTATGTGTGTGTGAGAATATTTGTTGCCGCTGGCATAAAAAGGACTGATTTATCCCACGTTTACCGGTAACCAGAGGCTCAGGGAGTTCTTCGTTAACCAGGGGAGCTTTAGACGATTGTTCCTGATATTCAGCATCATCTTTACCCAGAACCACGTTCCCTTCAAACTCTAGAAAAGAATAATAAAACACTATTGAGACAATATTTAGGTAAAAACATAAACCAGTTGATGTGGAGGGGAGCCACAGTTGACCTTGAAGGCTCAGGTCGTCGGGGGGCTGGAAGGACGGGTCAGAGACGTGGAAGCTGAGGCTGGGATCCATCCAGACCTCCTCTTCAAGGTTAAGACAAGGGGCAGCAGCAGCTTCCTGAAACAAAAACCCACATTTAAAACAAATCTAAAAAACATTTAGATTCCTAACCTTTCAACCCTTCTGGGTCAGTTTAACATTTCAGAGTTTTACTGGTTTGAAACCACCTTACTGGTCAGAATTTTTACACCATTAGGATTCAGCTTCAGCTCTGAGATCCACAAAGTATTGAATGTGAGTTCAGTTTGGATCCATCTGTTTCTTTTCACCTTCGGCTCATTTTTACTTTGTTTATCCTTTTATTCTCTGTAAAGAATGTTAGTTAAGGGAAATTTGCTTTTAAATCTGCTGTTTATAAGAACTCTGATTGATTTTTATGGTTTAGCTCAGAGCTCACGGATTAGTGGACCGCGGTCCGGATCTGGACCCACCTGCTGGCTAATCCGGACCCAACCTGATATAAAACATTTATAAATTACCGTATGTTGTCTGATGACATTGTCTAAATTCACGTGTGCCGCTTCTCCTGTTTATATGATAAAGCCCTCTAGGCTACATGTGATACATATTAGCCAATGAGCTGCTGTCAGTCTGGGTTGCTGCTGCTGCTACTTTTAGACACAGCAGGCAAACCTGTGGCAAGCCGGGCGATGGGAAAGAAGGAGAAGACGATGAGAAAAAGAGAGCAGAGAAAGTGTGGACTGCTGGAAGGACTGTGGTGAGCTCCTTGATATGTGCTTTAGAATGACTTTGTCTCCATTCAAACCCAGGTTTAAAGCCTTGCAGGGCAAGATAAAGCCCACTGCTCTCATTAAGCCACAAAATGAAAAAAAAAAAAAAAAATGTAATTAATTAATAAGAAATGGTCAGTTCAGGTGTTTCACAAAATATGTGAATCGGGAAATTGTGTATTTAGCATACTCAAAGATTGTTGCTCTCTACTAAAAAAAAAAACACTTTAGATTTATAAATGTTCTATTTACATTGCAGTGTCCATATAATCTGTAAAACTCCCTGCATAATTATAATAAAGCAATTTATATGCATGAAACAAGTGGAGCAATAGGGCAATAGCCGTACTGCTCCACTTGTGAAAGTAAAATCTGTTGGGCTCTTTTTGGCATCAAGACAATTATTGTTATTGCCACATTGCCAGACAGGACACTGAAAAAAAAAAAAAAAGGAAAATGTTCTTTGTATGTATATATATATATATATATATATATATATATATATATATATATATATATATATATATATATATATATATATATATATATATATATATATATATATATATATATATATATATATATATATATATATATATATATATATATATATATATATATATATATATATATATATATATATATATATATATATATATATATATATATATATATATATATATATAGGGCGACAGTGGCGTTGGATGTAGGAGTTTGCCCTGAAATCGAAGGGTTGACGGTTCAAGCCCCGACTCCGACTTTCAGTGTCGTTGTGTCCTTGGGCAAGACACTTCACCTGCATTGTCTACTGATGGTGGTCAGAGGGCCCGGTGGCGCCAGTGTACGGCAGCCTCGCTTCTGTCAGTGAGCCCCAGGGCAGCTGTGGCTACAATGTAGCTTGCCACTATCAGTGTGTGAGTGTGTGTGTGAATGGGTGAATGAATGTAGTGTAAAGCGCCTTGGTCAAGTCTCCTAACTTGAATAAAGGCGCTATATAAGTACATGCCATTTACCATTTACCATTTACCATATATATATATCAGTGTTAAATTGAGTATAAAGTAAGGGTTAATCCCAGAATAAGGAAACTTGTGATGATTTATTAGTAGAAACAGCATTGCTAGCTTCAGTACGGCCATCATGAGGATGCTAACCTAAACATGTGGGCTCATGACTCCAGGTTAGCTTCAGCCTGTTATTCAGCATATGGATCTATAACCAATAATGGGTCTGATCTCCATTGGGCTGTTTGCTGCAGACTTACAAGGTGGGAGCAGTCTGTGTGCCAGTCCCACACACAGCCCTGGGGCATCATGGTGCTGTAGGGGTAGGCCCCCAGCAGAGCCATGGAGGGCTGCAGCTCTGACACTGAGGCTGGGATCTGCTCCTCATCGCTGCCTTTTATCCCCTCGGCCTCAGACACCCCCTGGGCCAGATCACGGGGGTCCTCCTCCAGACCCAGCCTGATCCAGGGGTGGGGGTACAGACGGCAGACGGAAGAATCTGCGGGGTCTCCTAGCAGCTCTGACACCATGTCCCTGATTCCCCATTCCTTCTCTTCCTCCTCCTCTTCCTCAGCAGCAGGAGGCTCCGGATCATGGAAGTGAATCTCATAAGACGGAGTAGAGGCGTAGACATCGATCTGATCTGGGTCCACAGGGACCGAGATGTGGCTCGGCTGACAGCCAGCACCATTAATCACCCAGTCATGGTAACTGATGACATTGTGGACACTGGGGTGTTGGGAGGAATCAAAAGGTAAACCCTGGGTCTGCATCCTCCCCTCGTTCACTTCCTCCAGGTTGATCCTGTCTGATAATGAATGAGGGATCATGAAGTCAGATGAACCAGCAGGGGTGAAGTTAGAATGGATGAGATCTCTTCTCTTCTCCTTCAACAAACTTCTGATCATCAGTAGTGAAAACATGAGCTGATATCTCCTCTGCTTCGCTCTCAGGTGGGTTTCTCTCCTTGTGGATCCGGTTGTTCCCAACGTAAGATGAGCAGAGTGAGCGAGGAAGGATGGAGAACCAGGATGCTCATCGTCTGCAGGTGGAGGTTGATTGGGTGGATGATGGATAAAACCTTCACAGCTCACTGTCCAATCAGAACAGAGGTTTCCAAAACTCTGCTCTACATGCAAAGAATCTGGGTCCTTCCCGAGATGGTCTGCAGGGTTGTTTCTCTGGAAGATTCCAGCCTGTTTGTTGTTTTTTAGTCTGAAGGAGGATCTCTTTGTCAAAAACAGACCGACGTTCAGGTTTCAGAGTAAAATCCTCAAACTGCCCGTCACTGTTCTCCTACCAGGAAGCGGCTTTAGCGTCTTTATTTCGTGATTTGGGATCAGCTTCATTGGTGATCTTTCCAAACGTGTGTTCTAGTAAATCTGGGTGACTGGCTGGGCTGACTTACGTGCTGGGCCATGCCCGCAGCGTTTCTCATGTCCTGTTCGGTTGGCAGGAACAGGACGCAGCTGTCAGTCCTCTGCTCTGGGCGGGGCTCCTTACTAAAGCAGCACCCCATCTTCAGCCTGGGGAGGAGAGTAAAACAGTGATCTGTTACGGCCGCACTCACTAAGAGCCTAGACAACATGAGAGTAAAACCACGAGCTGCTCCTCCCCAGTCCCTCCCACTGCCTCACCCCCTCCGCCGCTCTTCCCAGAATAGAAGAAGTCGGGCTCACATGTCCCTGCCACTCAGGGCAGGCTGGGTCTGGGGGTGAATTAGGCCACAGATTCAGAGGGTCAGCCCCCTCCCACTAACCCACTGACACTTCCCCCCCATCAACCGCATCACTTCTTCATCTACATCCCCTCTGACATCAGGGCCTGTTATTCTGAATCGATTTTAAGTCTATTTCCTAAAGATTTATTCATAAAACTAAAAATTTATTTTTCAAATATAAAATTCCTGCTGCCCTTATGGCCACATTTAACTACCATTACTTTATTATTTTGCAGTTGAATGTTAAAATGGTAGTGGTGTCAATATGATGCATACGTAACTACACAGTCATAGAAATCAGGTAAAATCCTAAAAAAATGTTTCATAAATAAATTAATGAATGTATTTAATAGCAGTGATCTGATCTGAGATTGAAAAAAATAAATATTCTTTATCTTAAGAAACGTCACCCAACCCTAACTGGGTCAACAGGGAGAGTTTCCTCTGATAATCAGCTTGAGTTCTCCTCCTCTTCAGGCACCTTGGAAGTTGAAAAAGTTTCAGACACTTCTCTAAAAGAACTCATTTTCCTCCTTACATTTGGCAACGACAAAGAGGACTGATTCGTGTAATCCTTCACCCATCGTCGTCTTTTTTAAAACCACCTGAGTTGTGGATCTCTGCAGCTCTTCCAGAGTTACTGCGGGCCTCTTCACTACTTCTCTAAAAAAAAAAAACGCTCCTGCTGCCCGTCAGTGACTTTAAGTACATGTTAATCTCTCAGTTGCTTGCAGTCGGTCCATCTTCTTTCATAATAACTTACATCTTTGAGATGTTCAGAGTTTGGGAAGCTTGTATATTAGTTGTTCCTCCAGCGTGTGAAAACTGTAAATCTGGCTTTTCTTTCATCAGTGACTTTCTTCCAGCAACTCCTCACTAAAACCAGATTTCTAGACTGCATGGACCTTTCAATCAATGCTGCATGTCCCGTTTGCTCTGAAATTGGTCCATCTCTGTCCATGTTCAAATGGTGGATTGATCAGAGCTCAGATACCTGCCTCCTGGGTTCTTTGGTCTTCATGAAGACCAAAGTTCTCCTTTAATTCTAAGACATTTTTTTATTTCTTACTAGAAGATTTGTTAAGCTGCGAAGATATAGTGCTGAAATGGATCTAATACACAATATGTAAAGATTAGGGTGATGATAACAAGGCCTTCATACTTTTAGGACTTGTTTTTCAGGTTTTTCAGAAGGACTAAAGTTTTAACACACCATTTTTTTGAAAAAAACAAACTGATCAGTTATGTTTCTGCATTTTTTTTTAAGTCGTAGTGAAACGGTTGTTCCAACAGGTTGCATTCCTGAATTCTCCCGAGTGGTGGCCGACTTTACTCGAGTGAATAAAGTGAATGTGATTGGTCGATTATCAAGGGGGTTGTGGTATTCTCTGAAGCATCTTGCTAACCAGTTAGCAACTTAGTGCTAGCAGGTTCCCAATGGGAAATTCCATTGGGACCAAGTAGCACTAAATTGGTGACTTAGAAACGACGCTGTCAAGGAACGCTATGGACAGAGGAAACATGCAAGAGGAGGAGAGTTTAGTGTCGGAGGTCGTGGATGAGTCTCCTCCGTCATACATTTTTTATTTAGAGGAGGAAAGCGGGAACGAAGATGTTGTGGAAGAGGACGCCAGGGCGGCAGAAGCTTGGTTTGGTAGAAGCAAGGGCGAAGGTTTGATCTCAACTTTGGTACGGACACTATTGGTCTTACGTTGAATTGATTTGATGTCATTGGTCCTACGCATTATGCATGCTCCTATTTTTTTTTTATGCTTGATGTAAGCATCAGGGTGCATTCAGTTTAAAGAGAAAACAGCATTTTTTGCTACATTTATATACATTTTATAAGGAATACACACACATGATGCTGTTTATCAATGTTTGAAGCATCAGTGGCTTGGAATAATGTAAAATTGGGACAACCTTACAGTTTGAAAAGGGTTACATTTAAACTTACCAGCGACTAAGACGGAGGGTAAATATGTGCCTTTTTAACCAAATACAGTCTAAATATGTCTGCTGTATTTGTATTTATCTGCTGTTTCTATAGGTAATATGCAGAGGTAAAACCCAGTCTTATTTTTTTGTATCTTTTAAATGCTGATATTCTCTGTATTGTAAAATAAAGCAAAATAAAATATTCAAGGGATTGCAAATAGAGTTATCGTATTTACATAGGTGTGGGGACTATAACAGGAAGTGACACTGAGCATTTCAAATATTGACTTCAATATACAAGTTGTGAGAAAAGAAGCAACTGCTGCAACAACCCTGGATTGTAAATTATAAACATGTTATTCACATAGAATTATTGGTAGGGACAAGTTGGTCTGGCCAAAATTTTGGTAGGGACATGTCCCTATGGTCCCTATGCAAACCTACGCCCAGGTGTAGAAGGCTTCCAGCCGTACATGTTTGAGCCCTTGCCTTGCAACGCTGCCAGTTCTGTTAGCTCTACGCCTGCTGAAGACACAGACGTCCATCCCCGTGAACACTGGGACGGAACTCAACGGGAAAGGAAATGATTCTGATTTCTTATTTCAGCCGTTGCGTATATTAGCTGTGACATATGAATCAAAATGCTATGATCGAAAACAATTTGATTGACAGATGACCGCTGATATATGATTGGGCGAATTTAGGTGTTCGGGCTGACATATAACTAACTGGCCTGCAGAAGATAAGGGAAAAAAACAGAGATTGTAAGAGAGGATTTTTTTTTTTTTATATAAATTTTCTAACTTTTGGGACAATAGGGTCTGATAAAGAATACATTTATATACATGTTTGAGCCAGAATGATTTGACATTTAAATATGATTTCCCTACGACTTTAAAAAAGCAGGGAAACAATTAGAGCAAGGGATTGATTTTTTTTTTATTTCAAAAAGTGTTTGTTCTTTATTTGTTTTTCAGAAGGACAAAAGTTTAACAAACCCAATTTTTGAGAAAAAAAAAAGATCATTCATGTTTCTGCATGATCTTTTAAGGGATTTATCACTAATTTCATACTTTAAAGTGTTTCTGTCAGTTCAGGAAGGTAATCATCGTTTGTGTTTCTTTTGTTTAATTTCATCACCAAATAAATAAATGTTATGTAAGTTTCTTTATTGTTATGAAAATGACGGAAACGGTGTGAAGGAGAGAAACGTGTTTTAAAATGTTAAAAATAAACCTGAGAGTTGATGACTTTAAACATCTCCGTCACTTTAAACACATTTGCCCGTTTCCGCCACTCTGTAAAAAAAAAAAAAAAAAAAAACTATCTCAATATAATGAGATACTATCTCAATATAATGAGATAGTATCTCATTATAATGAGATAGTATCTCAATATAATGAGATAGTAACTCAATATAATGAGATAGTATCTCATTATATTGAGATAGTTTTTTTTTTATTTTTTACCATTTTTTTAAGTTAAAATTGAGTATTTTTGGTCAATAGCTCCCAGGTCATGTGACCTATTGATGCAAAATCAGTGTGGTCAAATGACCTGGGAGCTATTGACCAAAAATACTCAATTTTAACATAAAAAATTGCTAAAAAAATAAAAAAAGAGTTAAAATGAAAAACAAATGAGTGTGCCCCATCTACAGAGACTAGTAGAACAATTTCACACCGATTTTGCATCAATAGGTCACATGACCTGGAAGCTATTGACCAAAAATACTCAATTTTAACTTAAAAAATTGGTAAAAAATGAAAAAAAAACTATCTCAATATAATGAGATACTATCTCATTATATTGAGTTACTATCTCATTATAATGAGATAGTAACTCAATATAATGAGATAGTAACTCAATATAATGAGATACTATCTCATTATAATGAGATACTATCTCATTATATTGAGTTACTATCTCATTATATTGAGTTACTATCTCATTATATTGAGATAGTTTTTTTTTTTTTTTTACAGAGTGGCGGAAACGGGCTTCCATACATTTTAAAGCTGTTCTCCGTAGAAAAAGAAACGTTACTCCCCGTTAGTGTGATTTAATCTTTCGTTCATCTTTTTTACCAGCATTTTCGGCTCAGATGAAACAATAAAAACGACCTTAAAATAAAAACAAACATCTATTTATTCGGGACTTTATTCAGCCTCATTTGTTCATAACCTGTTTGTTCTAACGGTTACAGTTGGTCCAAACTTGTGGACCCACAGAAATAAGCGGCTCGGTTCGGGTTTGTTTTGGATCCATGAACTCACCTGGTTCTCCTTCTCTGCTCCAGAGGATGAACTTTGGCAGGTTTCGTTTCTTCTTCCCAACAGTGGCCGTGGAAGTGGGACTTTCTCGTCAAAAAGTGACCCGTTGACACTCTGCTGCTCCTGTACGAGCTCTGCTGTTGCTATGGTAACGGAGCATGTTGCGCTGCAACTTTTTATTTTATTTTTTTAATGATGTGTT